CACGGCTTATTTTCTTTATTAACGCCCATTTTGGCGGTATGTCAGAATAATCTAAATCTGTATCCAACTGTGTAGGTGTACTGTGTGCCTCCTTCACAGCTGAGCAGGGTTGGATGCTAATTTTGCCAGTCTGCATCTTGTGGAGGATGTTGATCAAGCATATCACAGTTTATTTAATACATGCTTTAGCTATATTCAAGGTTAGTTATTTCAAGTATCTGTATGGATAAGATTATATATACTGACCTATGCAATGTATTGATCTGCCTTATCTATTACTTAACATGCTCATTATTGTTGAGAAATGGTTATCATGTCAAAATGAACATTTATCAAGTGAGAATTAATCAAATTTCTTGCACTGTTCAGCCTAACTTCTGTTTTTCTGAAAAAAGGAAATAAGGTACCATATCTTTTTAACTTTGGATAAATGTTTACATCACAAACATATATTCTAGCTAGATAACACTGGAGTGTAAAAGAAGTATTACTTCGGCAGTGAAGAAGAGGAAGAACAGAGGGAGAAGGAGGAGGAAAATGAGGAAGAAAAGGTGGAAAGGAGGGGGGTTAAGAAGACAATAGAATTTGTGTTGGAAATGAGAGGAAGGAGGTGAAGAAGAGAACATTGAGAAGTGGAAAGAAGAGCAGGAATAGGTGGCAGAAGCAGTATTTGAAATAAGTGCCTGCCCGTAGGCCCATGCCCGGTGTGAGGGCAGATCTCGTGTTAGGCTCGTAGTTTCAAATGTGTATAGGTCCTTATTGCCTGCATTAAATTTACGTGTTGATATATCTGTCACAATAAGCTGCAGTTGTTTAAATGAGGGCCTGAAAGGTTTAGTTAGGGCATGCAGCTTCTAAATCTGTGTTTCCTGAAGACAGTCCCGCAATTTGTTTTATATCAAACGATGGGCAGAAGAGCAAGAAAAATGGGAGGAAGAAAGAGTGGCTTATGTGGAAGGAAGTGAAGGAGAGGAAGAAGGTGAAGCTATTGCAGAAAAGGTTTTTGTGGCAGCAGAGGAGGAAGAACTGGCGGAAGAAGTGAGCTGGATGACAACTGCTTACACGGAAAGTGTGATTACTTGGACAGCTACAACGCTCCCAATATTTGTGACCCAAGGACAAGACTTTCACCATCAAGTGGTGGCTAATTAACCCTTGCTGACCACATCATTACGGGTCACGTGTACTACAGGATGGTCATCTGCGTAACTGCGGTGAAAAGTCTCAGGCAAAGGAAATGCTACTGTTACGGCGTGCGTGGAGGGGGCGGAAGTTTAGATGGGCAAATGAGGCTTTAAGTGTACAGCTCAAGAGGTTAGAGTACACCATAATTTGCCCTAAGTGGCCAGTTTCACTTGCTGAGCTGTGGCCCAAACCTTTACATTGGATAAGGTTTGGAGATTGCAACAACCGATCATTACTTACACCTCTGACACATTTGTCAAAGTATACCTTGGTGGGCTGAACAGCAGGAATACAACTCAGGGAAACAACAACTGAAATCAATCAATCCCTATTGATCCCTATTCAAGCATTGTATATTTCCTTTCTGAAAATCCTTAAAAAAGGATACCTTCATGCTAATAAGACCAAACAAATATAATTTCTAGTTTAAATTTTCATGGTCAATATGCTAAGGTGCAGGAAGAAAAACATGAAAAAATGTTTCAGGGCTGATTTGAGGAAAATATCCCCGAAAACACTTTAGAAAGAATAGCTCAACAAATTTACAAACAAGAGGTTAAAACATCATATTCATATACTTACTAAGTAAAAAAATAGAGTATATGATTGTACTTGAAAGTCCTACACATTCTAAAAGAAGAAAAGAATTAATTAAAAAAAAAATTTGACAAACAATAAAGAAAGGCTTTAATGACGAATGTCAAAACCCAATTTACTACAAGACTCCAAACTAACACTTCTAAAATGTGACATGACTTCAATTGATCTAGACACTTTATCCTAAACTTGTTGTGTAGAGTTGTACTTATGCCATAGTGGTAGTGTCAACAAGCGTATGTTCGGGGGTCATCTCAAAAGTCATAAGTCATCTAATCGGGCAATGTAGATTGTCTCATGTAGCCATACATCCTGTTTGCATTTACTCAGCATGAAGGAACCCCATACAGACCCCATCCTGGAAGAATTCAATAAATCATTGTAAAGTAGAATGACGTGTGTATGATATTTTAAAAAATCAAACATGTCACAAAGGACAATTTGCCAAGCCTGTTAAACTAATCTGATAGTCCACCCACCCTATTCCAGCTAGTTTGAGATAACCCTTGTGACTCTTCTGATTGTAATCCTCTGCATCATCCTGCATGTGCATCATTACTGTATCCTCTCACAGGATTGGCTAGGGAAGAGTCAATCACATCCTACTTGGACCTCAAGTCCGGCGTTCCCCACAGACCAACCACTGCGCTAACAACCACCACTGATGCAGAACAAAACATCTATCATTACATCAGGAACATTTCCAAAATTATTTTTTTCCTGCACAACAAGTCTCTGCGATTACATCACAATGCTCTCTTGTCAATTGCCATATGAAAATGATATCATATTTTTCCAAAACAATTCTGCACACATGATCAAATATCCTTCCTATCAATCTCTTTGCTCATAACGGACATGCCATTAGGAGCATAGCCATTTCATCTTACATACAAGTGTCTGCATCTGAGTTGCTTCAGCTAGAGTTTCTTCACAATTATTCTGGAAATGCAAAAAGAGGCTTTGCATATTTTTCTCTGCCTAATTAGATGTAGTGAATTATGATTCATACTGTAATTATGTTATTGCCCAGCAGGAATCTCTGTGATGCTAAATCCCTGGTATCCATTGTATGTAGATGAGCTCTGGAGAAAGCTGGGCCGATCAACATGGCTCAAGATGCATGGAGGCAGTACACCTTATTCTTGCAACTGTATTTTGAAATCCATTTTTTCTTGGTACTCTGATTTTAAGCATTTGCCCTTTTTCAAATGAGCTATTTCTAGACTAATGACATTAATGTGTGTATATCATCCATGCACTTATCACATTTGTACAGTGTATGTACAGTGAGTGAATGAGTAGGGTTTTGTATACAGTGGGTGAAAGTGCTGGGTTTTGTATGCACTGAGTGAATGTTTGGGGTTTTGTATACTGTGAGTGAAAGTGTTTGGTTTTGTATACAGTGAGTGAAAGTGTTTGGTTTTGTATACAGGGAGTGAAAGTGTTTGGTATTGTATACAGTGAGTGAAAGTGTTTGTTTTTTGTATACAGTGATTGAAAGTGTTTGGTTTTGTATACAGTGATTGAAAGTGTTTGGTTTTGTATACAGTGATTGAAAGTGTTGGGTTTTGTATACAGTGATTGAAAGTGTTGGGTTTTGTATACAGTGATTGAAAGTGTTGGGTTTTGTATACAGTGAGTGAAAGTGTTGGGTTTTGTATACAGTGAGTGAAAGTGTTGGGTTTTGTATACAGTGAGTGAAAGTGTTGGGTTTTGTATACAGTGATTGAAAGTGTTTGGTTTTGTATACAGTGATTGAAAGTGTTGGGTTTTGTATACAGTGAGTGAAAGTGTTGGGTTTTGTATACAGTGATTGAAAGTGTTGGGTTTTGTATACAGTGATTGAAAGTGTTTGGTTTTGTATACAGTGATTGAAAGTGTTGGGTTTTGTATACAGTGATTGAAAGTGTTGGGTTTTGTATACAGTGAGTGAAAGTGTTGGGTTTGTATACAGTCAAACAATATTTCAAAGCCAATTTAAATATAATAATAATGACAGTGTATAACATTAGTTTGAGTCTATGATAAATGGGATGATATGTAAGGACAGAACCACAGAGTAAACACACACCCTACTGCTACTTCACGAAAGATGTTCTGTTTAACATCAAAGCTTAACATCCATGTCTTAAAGGGGATCTGGTGATGAGAACAGTTCTGTTGTAATTAATGGATTGGAACAGAGCTGGGTGCACTAAATCAGAAATGTCAAGAATGTTGTGGACTGTCTAGTCTCATTACAGTCTTCATCAAAACCATTAAAAACATCATTTACATGTTTCAGCCTTGATAATTCAGCACAGTCTTTTGGGCATACTACCACTTTTTACAATGAATGTTGAAGAGTCTTGTAGATATCTTCAAAAATCTTAAACAAAAACCAGTCTGCTTTTCAATATCTCAGCGATCTACTAAAACTTACTTTTACAAACACGCCCAAAACATCAACTGATCAAACACATGTCAACCATCTTTCACAACATATTGATGTTTTCTGAAATGTTCCCAACCCACTGAAATTAAAAATGCAACAGTAAAAAATAATGGCTGATACAAAATACTAAGGAAAATTTATATCATCCCAAACATTTACAATCAATCAGCCATTGGTCCAGATCCCATGCCAAGTGGCAAGAAATCATATGCTATCTTGTCAAAGGAAAAAAGTCTCCGAGGCAGTTCACATGACAGGATGTAAATTAATGATGGACACATAACAGAGATGCAGCACCTTGACAGACTTCAAAACATTGTGTCTCTAAATATCACCATAGACATATTACTATTTTGCTAAACAATACCACATTGTGACTGACTATTAAGCTTTGAGGAAATCAGACATGAAGTTAATATGTACAATAATGTGTCATGACACTTATTGATTATTATATCCTAACCCACCAGGCAATATATGGGCATTAAAGATATCTGTGTATAAACCTTCAACCAGGACATCAATGTAATGCTACACTTACATAGGAACAAACTGACCATGTATCAACCACCTCTCTGTATTTTATCTCATTTTTATTAACATTTTATGAATCACATCTAAGATCTTGAATATTTAAAATCAAACCCATCTACTTTCTATCCAGACTAACATCCTGAAAACTCCTAAAAAACATCCTTCTGAATCAAATCTGGAAGAAGTAAAGAGAGAGAGCCACATTTATCAGAGGAGGCTGCCGATTGGAGTACAGAGCTATCAAGCCTAACTTCCCCACAAACAAGTAAGCAGTGTGCCTCGGACAGGTTGAGAGAGACTTGCACAGCCACAGTGGGACCGATGAGACTGGTTAGGCAGTTGTGGATATGTAGAGGGTGATGCTGAGGCAAACAGGGCAGTGAGTTAATGGCAGGCAACAATAAGGAGCCGGATAGTTTAACCTTATAATTGGCCGTAACCTGAAGCTTCACGCTCCACCCCCTTCCTGTCAATCTCTCTTCTGTATATTTTTGACTCACAGGCGGGCAATTGTCTCAGAAAGTGTAGAAGTGGTGGGGCCAAGGTAAATATAAATATACAGCAAACTGCTCTGAGTGTTCATAGATGGGAGTCAGTTTGTTATTGCTGTCAACTGGATTCCCCAGACTGTTTTACCTATCCTCAATTAACACTGAAGAGGGAAAAAAGTGGACATCACTAGTACAGTTTCAATTTTAAACCTGGAAGTTTCCACCTAGTGGGTATTTCTGTTCGAGACTTTACACTCTGAGATTATTGTTTCACCAAAAGGAACTGTGTGAATCACGAAGCAAAAAGGATTTGGTTGGTGTCCAAGAATCTGCTTGGGATTCCTCCAACAGACCTACCCAGAAGCTGAGGTTCATAATCAGCTGTTGAGTGGGAATGGCAAACCTATCTGCCCAAGAAGCGTGGTCTGTTGAGACAATGTCCACATTGACACCATACATCATGAGTGGAGGGGACAATTTTACTTCCACGACAATGGCACCAGTGCCTCCACCAATGATGACACCAGAGTTCTTGCAGACAGTAGAGTATGTTTGTGACCAGGTGCTCGTTCCACTGATAGTCTGTTTTGGAATTTTGGGCAATGTCCTAAGTTTGGTGGTTCTAACGAAGAAAGAGATGGCTTCACCAACCAACTGTTTTCTGATTGCTCTGGCTGTGTCCGACTTGCTACTTCTTGCGATTCAGATCCCCCATTTTCTCTCCTTTCACCCAGACTGGAATAAGGCTTCATCCTTCATGACCTTCCATAGGCATTTCACCATACTCAGGTAAGAATTGTATGATTTCTTTCACTGGGGTTCGACAATATGCTAGTGGAACTGTTCAGTAGTTTACAGGTAAAGGTGGTTCTTCTGGCTAGTGGAATCATGAAATGTCTACTTATTAATGTTACATATTAAATTATGAAAAGACAGAAATTGTGAGAATAACTGCAATACCAGCAATAAGCAATTAGTAACAAGAGTTATGAGATGATGACAAATCCCCCTGCCCCCACAATAGCAAAAGGCACCACTTCAAACCCTGGTTAATCCCACCACCCCTGATACGTCTGGGAATAAAATGTTTAAACTTGAAGTTGTCCAGTTGTCCAATTGAAAAAAACATTGTTTTTTTTATTGACACCATTTATGAGCATATTTAAGTGTCAAAGTAATCACAAGAATGTACCATTCATCCATTGCCACAAACCATTAGTAAAACTCTGATGGCTGGCTAATAATATTTTAAATAAAATTGTTTTCTCAAGTTGAACACTGCACAATGTATTAAAAAATGACATTTGCCAGGACAACAGCTCACCAACTCACAAACAAATGTTGACATGATCATGACGTTAAAAAAGTCATAAGGTGGTTCTACTGGCTTTTCTTGTTAAATTTGTTGTGACACCCCTAAAAAAATACCCAGGGGGTCCAAAAAACAACCCAAAACCCAATCTGACAAAACTTCCAAAAATGATGAAATATCTAATGACAAAAGATGTGAGAAGAATGTTTATTATATTCTTATTGTGAAAAGAATGCATTTAATAGGTTTGTAATGGAGAAAAACTATCCAACAGCAGTCAAGCCATTCACTATATCCAAGAAACTGATGAAAAACAAAGCTTGAAAAAGTGATAAATATGCGACTGGTGTACAATAAGGAACAAGATGCAAAACACATAACCATTATTTCTGTGTGAAGACACATTCCGTTGAGGGCTACGAGGCATTTAGTTTCAGTTTACAGTATAAAGAACTACATTTAGCATTTCTTTTACACAATAATACACTCAAACCCTGTTTTCCTGACCAGCAATGTAAATTGTTGTCATCAAGATCATGAAAAGATATGCAATGATTATACATGAAAAATAAGATAGGAAAAGCTTTTAAAATAATTTAATATTCTGCAGTTAGATAGGTGTTCTCTGCCATTATCACAGATTGTCCTATACCATTCATATTCCCATCACATGCAGATGATATCCTGCTTTTACCATTTCCCTGTAAACAGTTACATTCTGGATGTGCCATTTGTCTTGATTGTTTCCCTGAAAGGGATATTAGGTAATGCCAAGCAGATAAGGGTAGATCTGCCTTTGAAGAGGCTACCAAGTAAACAGCCTGTGTGGCAGACAGACACAAGAATAAAGAAATGTTCTGGCAATGAGGAAAAGGCAACAGAAAGGGGAACACCGGTCTCGGAAGGACCCACTATTAACTGCAGTCACTGTTACCATATTATCACAAGGCACACTATTCTCCCTTTTCTTCATGGACAAGCTGACTGCCTTAATTTTCAAAAGTGAATTTTAATTTTGGGGGGGTTAAATACAGTGATTCACTGCAAATATGATTTTTTTTAACAGCTTGCATTATTGTTTTCATTCTTATGTCATGAGTTTGTTTCAGGAAATTAATTTAATCACCAACATTTATAGTTCCCATTTTGATGTATCTAACAGTATGATAAACCAAAAAATCTGTAAAACAGCAAATATATAAATGTGCCTATTCTCTGTACATTTGGATGCGCCCCATGCCTGAAACCTATGACCATGGGTTTAAAGCCCAGACTCGTCCTGATTCTGTTTCTAGGTTTGTTGGCAACATACCCATGCTTGTGGGTTTCATCAAAGTGGTAAACGTTGTAAGATCTGCATCACTTTGGGCTTTCTTCCCACTATAGCTGACCTACCATCATATATTAAAGAGAAATACTGTTAAAAGCGACAATACCACACATATTCTCTATCTAGATTTGATTGATCTATGACATCATAAGAAGTATATCCTGACTGCTTGTTCCTTGCGAGACATGTGAAGATCTGGGTTTGAATAGGTTTTCAGGAACTCATGCTTGCCTTAAGATTTTTTGTCCAGATTTGATTATTTACAGACCGCTGTAATACAGCTGGAAAATTACTGAGTGTGGCATTAAACAAAAAGAAAAAAAACCCAAAACCCAAACGTTTGTTCCTTGTGACTCCTTCACTACTTACAACTGATGACTGTAGGTCCGTCTACTGTACTGCACTCAACATGCCAATACTGTCCATAATTAGATGAGTCACCAACTGCCAACTGTAACCATCAGTAATGAGGAGCATATTCAGTGATATGCTGAAAAATTACTATAATCTGCCCACAAAATTGCAGTTTGCAATAAATTAATGTCATTTCTCAGAATTGCTAAGAAATAAGACAGAAGGTTTCAGATGAATGAGAAATATTATAGATATATTTGTGTTTAAGACACTCAAGGATATTGGGTAATGGAGGCTTATCAGGGTTAGAACTAAACTGAAAGGCTTTGCTAGCCTGGGTAAAGATAAAATGCCCTTGTAAAGTTAAAACAATGGGGAAATGTTGCAATTTGTACTCGCCCGCAGGCATTTGTTCTAGCCCTGGTCTAATGGGCTAGTGTTAAGTTCTAACTCTGCTTATCCAGTGATAGTGTAGAGAGATGAAATTTGTGAGACAAGAAAACATCTTGCTAGAACATTATTACAGGTCTACTACAAATCTGGAATTCCAGGACACTCACACATTGGGGACAAAGTGTTTTTGGATACAGGATGTTTTCCGAACTTAATTGAGCACCAGAGGTGCACTTCTCTTCCCATCTCCACGTCTAATCTTGGCTGTATGGTAAAACCACAGCTACAGCATGCATCACAGAGACAGTATACTGCCGGGAGCCAAGTCCTGCTGGGCTGCTGTAGCAGTTGATGCTAATAAAGGCTGCTTGATTTAGAAGGATAAATGTTTGTATGTTTGTTGTTTATTGCCACACTCAGCAATACAACAACTATATGATGGCAGTCTGTAATTAATTGATCTGGGACAGATGATCCAGTGATAGATATTGTGAGCAATGGTCCACACCATCGAGGTATGATGATACGCAATCTACCAAGTCGCTGAGCCTAATCACCTGATCTCTATGGTCCCAAGGGCTCTACTCTAATCCCCTATCCCCACAGGGGGAGTATCAATGCGTATGCAGAACATGATTTGATTTCACCTGTAAGCAACTGGTTAGAGAACAGCCCCCTCCCACACCTATCCCCAAAGGTGCACACTGAGGTACGGCACTGCTGACAGGGCTAGAAATTGGCATTAGTCCTTTACAGTCCTTGCCAAACTTCCCAATAGTTAAGGTGTCATAAGGACTAGTAGAAATGTGCCATTTTTAAGGCTCCTGCTACATGCTATCATTATAAGGACGAGTGGACTTAAAATGCTAGTTTCTCTTGCTGGTTGACAATTCGTAAAAGCTACAGATTTTCTCCTAGATACTACTTAATTCATGCAATGAAACCCAAACCCCTAATTTTGACCTGGTGGTATACATCTGTGAAGCAAACCGGAAAATAAAATTATTGAAGAGGGTATGCAGAGGATGACATTTTGAAATGGAATGATATCATCTCTGAAACATTTTACCTAATAGAAACAGAAAGATTCCAGTATATTTTTCAAACTGAGATTTCAAACCATATCCTGTCATCAGTGTCCACTGCTGTCCCTACATAGACAAACTGCAATAGGAGAGGAAGGATCCTTATATGAGATTTGGGATGAGGGAGGCTAGTCTAGGCATAGCTGGGGCTGTTTCACGTGCACAGAGAGGAGGATGCACTCCACAGGTTTCTCAAAGTGATATATTGTGTTACAGCAAAGTAGAGGATACATGTAACAAGTTTCACAGCTTCTAATTATCTCTTGCTTTGTTAGAGTCATTGTGATCACAGTGCTTAGTGAACATTTATACATACTTGGAACAATAACACATATTCCCAATAATCACATCATAGTTTCTTCGGTCAAAAGTAAAGGTTGCATGTCAAATGGTCCAAATAAAATATATTTGTTGACACCTGGGTTATTATCGACTTGATAGGTCTGCTGGCACTGATGGATATTGAAACATGTTCATGAAGAGTTTTCCAAATATATTATTTATGATGATCATTGACAGAGTCTAATAACTAGTCACTGAGGATGTCTATGTCCATGAGACCAAAACATGTTCATCAGTACAACTGAACAATATAACAATACAGCATTGTCATGATAAACACATTAATAACTGCTGTTTGTATTGTCATTCCTCAGAAATGATTTTGTTTTGTTTTAAGCACTAAGCAATATTTCCGCTATATGACGGCGGTTTGTAAATAATCAATTCTGGACCAGACAATCCAGTGATTGACAACATGAGCATCGATGTACACAATTGGTATCAATGACATGCATCAACCAAGTCAGCGAGCCTGACCACCCCATCCCATTAGTTGCCTTTTACGACAAGCATAGTTGCCCTTTGTGGCAAGCATGGGTTGCTGAAGACCTATTCTGTCCCGGATCCCTCAGAAATGAAATTCAGACTGAACATATAAATTGTTTCAAGAATAAAGGAACATGACCTATCATCGTGTAAGACTAACAAGGAACTTGTCCCGGACGGAATTAAAGGTTGGTCTCTGTATTGGTGGCACGTGTAGGATTCATCTCTCTTGGCTGTAGTGGTTGATATGTAGGTGGTCTACAAATTTGTAATGCCTTTAGTGTCCCCGGATATAATGAGCCCTTGATAACACCATCCCTTATCTGTAAAAGGAAAAGTGGCTCCCACACACGTTATTTCTATCTTGGTAACACTATGTCTCTCATACATGCAGGAAATTGGACTTCTTCCTTGTATGATCGCAAGTTTGCTTTCTCTGAAATACATGGTACTTCACCCTTCAGTTGCTACAAGGATGTACGTGTTC